ATATCTCTCTCTCTCTCTCTCTCTCTCTCTCTCTCTCTCTCTCTCTCTCGGATACCCATTTTTCCATCTTGTATGGAATGAATGGATCTCTCTCTCTCTCAGATAGCCATTTTTCCATCCTGTATGGAATGAATGGAAAATGGGCTTACAAAACCACAACTGTTGAATGGCAAAATGGCAATTACTTGGGCCCAGTTTGGAGGCCACTAATTCCTAAATAAGTTGTTTCTCGCCCCATTCATTGCTGAATAGAAATATGCCATTGTTTGGTCCATTCCCAGCTAATCAAGAACAAGCGCCTTTCTAGTCCCTGCTTACTTGGAAAACACAAATCACAACGTGAACATGTATTAAAAACGAAAAGAAAACAAAAGGACTTGCGCTTACTCCTGGATAACCAGTTTCTTTAAGTCCAATGCCTAGCACGGGGGTAGGGGTGGCAACGGATGAGGTTAGATTGGGGTGGCCGGACCTGAAAAAATGATATGGGACTCAGACTCGGACCCGACTTAAAAATTAAAATATCTATATATTTAACTATATTTCACATATTAGGAACCTTGAAATAGGGATTAAGTCGAATTGACTACCCCAAAGGATATTACCAGACCGGAACCCAAACCCAAATAGTGTTCAGGTCCAAGATTTGGACCTGGACCAAAACCTAATGGGTCTTATTTCAGTGATCAGAACCCAAACCCAAATAGTGTTCAAGTCCAAGATTTGGACTTGAACCAGAACCTAACGAGTCTAATTTTTGGACACACTGAAATTAGACCCACTGCTCCCCGGGTCCCAGGTCCATTGCCACCCCCTGCACGGGAGTGGGGGGTGGGGGGGGAGGGAAGAAGACATTTCCTAATGAACAATCCTGGTTTTTTGGCCATGTGTTTAAAAAAGAAAATGGTTTCATCTTCTCCCACTATTCATGAGTAACGGCTTTTCGAAATGCTCAGTTGAGAATAGCCGTGAAATGCTTCCCACCCCATTTGAAAGATGAACTCAAATACGCTTATCACTAATAACCTGCAAAGCACTCTTCAACCACATCTTAGTTCCATTGTTTAATAGGGACAAAAGAGCATCCAAACGGAGTGTACTGCACACGTGCACACTAAGAAAATGCAATTGTCTCTTTGCCACTCGTTAGTTTCTATTCTTTAACGTCATTTTTCCTCTATCCATGGGTGCGTGCATTTGATCTTTCCTGCATATGCGAGAGAGAGACCTATATCAGACAATACAACATTGCAGCCGACAATCTTTGGGGTTGGGGCCGGGGACAAGAGAGAGAGAGAAAAAGTACCTGCAGCATTGCAAATTCTCCTCATTCTACAAGACGTGAGATGAACTGTCAAAGTCGACATTTCTGCCCCAAGTTATAATCATCATCGTCAAAGCTTTTTTCCAACTAATTGAGGTTGGTTGCCCCAAGCTATAATCTAAACCAAAAAATTTACACTTTCTAACCAAAAACATGATTCAAGATCAAGGTGAAAGCAACACACAATGAGAGAGAGAGAGAGATGGTAGCAACAAGACCTTTAACCCAAGAACCGCCAAGTCATTAAAAAGGAAAGGACCTCTTCTATGAAAACTTTGCATCATAATACCAGGAGAACCGGGTCCCCGTCCCATCCAAAAACTGATCAGTATGCCATCCTTTCTTGCGCAATCCCGACACAAAAGAAGGAAACACATCACCCATTTTCTCATAAGCATCAACCAACACATCATTGGTAAGCCCGCATCTGGATTCATTCATGTTCGAAGCATAAGCAGCCACAAGCCACCCCTTTAATGCATCTTCACCTGTTGCACTATGCTGCAAGACCATATCAGTCCACCCACCATTCTCACTAGAGATCAAGAATTTCTCCTCTGGAAAAACCATTCTCAACTCTCTAAGCTGGGAAGGCCTCTTCACAACCTTATGAAGTGGGGCACCCACCTTAACACTTCCCGCTTCTTTGACTATCCGATCGGGGAAGAAGAGGTTCTCTTTGTACCTCAAGTCAACCGGGCTTGCTATGTTTCCATTCTTCATTTTAATAAATAAAAAGAAAAAGGGATTAGATTTTCTTTTTCAAATTTTGATACACAGAATTTGTATCTTTTTTTCTTGGAAAGGACTAGCAGGGCCAGTCAGAAAATGTATAGCCTTTTTACCTCGAGGAAGTCGGCTACAATCATAGCAGTTCGTTGTGGATTCAACGTGTTAACAGGAGCTGCTCGCATCTCTTCAGTCACACTGTAAACGTGTAGAACAGCAAGCAAGGGAGCCACTATCATCTGCAGGTTACAAGGAGAATACTAAGTACCATTACCACAGTAATATGGCTCATTTCAACATTTCAAGAAAAAACTCCGGTTTTTCTTTTTCTTTTTCTTTTCTACATTAAGATTTCATCAGCCCTCTCCCATATAATATGCCTTTCCTCATTTTCTTCTCCCAAACCATATACCTGCAAATATGCTAAATCCATGCATGTCCTAAGCTCGAACTGAAAACCCCTCTCTAAACCTCTAGCATGTTCTCTATCTCCAAAAAGCCTCCCCTTCCCCCTTCACTTCCCTCATTCTCTCACGCTCTCTTTCCAAAACCCTGCACTTCTCTCTATCTTTGAAAGCATAAACTGTGTGTGTGTGTGTGTCATGGCCAAGCATTCAGTATATGAAATATGTGTGTTGTGGCCAAGCATTCAGTCTATGAAATATGTCGAAGAGATCATACACTGATGTGCATATGAAAATGGATAAAAGCTCCATGATTTTCTATCCATGTGTGTGTGTGTGTGAGAGAGAGAGAGAGAGAGAGAGCAACTTGTTGTTGGACCACCCATGTTGAGTTCAGTAAATAATAGCCAGGAACTTCATAATGATTTAACATGATAAGAGCGACACCAGGTCTATTCTTGAGAAGACATTATTATGAGTACAATGCTCAAACCCGTATTAAAATGGGCAAAAAGCTCCACGATTTTCTATCCATGAGAGAAAGAGAGAGAGAGCTTCTCGCATTGAGTGGACAAAATCCCCATCATTTTCAAAATGCAAAATAAAAAAGGGCAAGCTCATTAAAACAACAAAGGTAGCCATTGTAGACATTCTAACCCTCTAAATTGTCCATAGAAAAAGCAATAAACTCCTAAAAAGTACCCAACAGGAATTAGATTTCAGTCACTTGAATAAGAGGAAAATCATCAATTTTAGGAAAAAAGAGGTTCATGAGAAATACTCTTTTTCTCAGTCGAATTTTTCTCAAGTATATAAAGAAAAGCAAAATTAAGCTCAAATTTTGGGCAACCATACTTCTCACCATCACTCACACGCAACAAATACAACAAGTAGATCCAAAAAATAAAATAACAACAATGACCAAAATACCACTGAAACTTGTTAGGCATATTTTGGTCATTTTCTTTTTATTGAATTATTTCTTCTATATTGTTTACAAGTGCATGATGGTGAGAAGTATGGATGCTCAACTTGTGTGTTTAATCCAATGTATAGGAAAAATAAACTACTAAAATACAGCACACACTCTAGAGAAGTGGGACTTGAATAAAATATAAGGGACTGTTTTAAATTCTGATAATAAAATGAGATTTTTCTCAAAATTTCCCTAAACAAAAAGATAGAAAATAGTGACCGAAAAAGGTTCAAATTTGAGAGTACAAAAAATTCTGAGCACATGAAATTGAAATGTAATAAGTCACTTAACCAAAACAGGAAGTAGCATTCTTTCTATAAGAAAAATCATCTCTTAGGAAAACAAAAGTTCATAGAAAATACTCATTTTTTCAGACTAGATTTCATCAAATATAGAAACATAAAGATAAAAGTATAGCAACAAAACTACTAAAAATTCTGAGTACATAACTTCAAACATTCCAAGATGGGATCTAATAGAAATTGCCACAACATTCCAAGATGGGTTCTGATGCAATTCCAATTAGACTTAAAGGGGTACACTCTTCTATTTCAGAGAATAGCATGAAATAGGGATGTAATAATGGAGGCCCATCGTTTCCTTGAAATTCCAGAAATTCTAGAGAGAGAGAGAGAGAGAGGAGGATTTTAGAGAGAGCACGTGAGAGGATGAGAGAGAGGGATCCAAGGTTTAGGGCAAGGACTTGCATGGAATTAGCATATTCACAGGGGTATAGTTTGGGGGGAAAAAGAGTAAATACATGGGGTTATATGGAAGAGCGTCGATGTAATCATAATGAAAATCGCAATGCCACCTGAAGCAAAAAATAAAATAAAGAAGGCTGTTTTTGAAGTGCTAAAATGTTGTTCTTTTCTTTTCTTTTTTTGTTTTGTTTTTTTTTTGGGGGGGGGAGGAGGTTAAAATAATTTCCCATAATAAAAAATTTAAATACTTATAGTTGAGATTATCCGTATGACACAAAATCTTTTCTACCAACTCTTTATTATTTGTTAATATGAATGTATATTTATTTTCTATTTATACGTGTACATATCATAGTTGTTGGGATCGGGATCGGAAGCAGGACCGGGATCAAGATTTGGAGATCCCGAAATGTTAGAAGATGCCTATGGCTGGAAGAATTGTCTGTACAACGCATATGTTAGGGATCTAGATCCCCAAATGTCAAGAAAATGATCCCAACCTTTTGGGGATTTTGATCCAGACCGTTGGGATCTCGATCCTATCTTTTTAGGGATCTTGCTTCCAACCTTAAAGAGTATGCATAGTCTAGGACTATATACTCTTTAGAGTAGGGATTTCTTTATTTTATACAAAACAAGCAATATAACTATACTAAAAGTATAGTTGTCTTACTAGCTATAAAAATAGAAAATCATCACATTGGTTATTGTCTTGATCTTTAAGGTTGAGATCGAGATCCCTAACAATAGGAATCGGGATCCCTAACAATGGGGATCGAGGAAAAATTTAAAAATCAGGATCCCTTGAAGATCCCTTTCCCAGAGCACCGGAATGAGATTCTAGATCAGGATGGCTACCCATGTTGAGAGATCCCATTCACTTGTTGTGCGCGGAAACTTTAAAACCCCAGGGGTTGATTTTTTGGCCAACAAAGAGTGAGAAAAATACAACCAACAACAAGCAAGAAAAATAAAGCAAGAAACAAATATTGTATAAAGAACATTGCGTTTTACATGGTTCATCATAGACATAACTACATCCACAGGTGAAGATGATCGACAATTTTTCATTTATTATTGGAAAGAAAATTACAATATGGCTCTTACATGCGAGAACCATAAACATACTCAATGTTTAACAAAGCCTCTCTCTACAATTTTCTCTCTCTACACAACTAAGGATTCTTTACACAACCCCTTAACCCATTCTCTCTCTATAATGACTATTTATAGAGAAAAGAAGGAAATCCAAATGACACTCGATGTGGAATTCCTAACACTTATCTTCCTGTTTAAAATTTTAAACTGATAAAGCTAATCCCATGAACTCCCATCTTTTAATGAGTTTCTCATATGGGAAATATCTAACTACTAAAAACTAAGAATTGTCTCCCTCCAAAATCGGAAAGAATATGCCACAAGATTAGAAAACCAACAAATATCCCTTAATACTAGGAAACCTAAAACCAATCCCCCAAAAAAAATAACAGAATTCCATGTCCCTTGGGATTCAAGACATCCTAAGAAATCTCCACGTTGCCTTGAATTTAAAAAGAAATACATGCCCCCATAGGCTCTCTCCTTCACAAGACATTAATCTCTAAGGAAACCAACTTTGACAACATATGTGTGACATTCTTTTTGGTATCAATCTTCACGATATCCCAGGTTTGATTCTTTTATAGAGACTATTTCTTCATTCATAGTATTACTCTACCTGCTACTATCAATATCTTATTTAGTTTCCTCGATAGCTCTTTGACTTGTGGCAACCAATGCATAAGCCACCATGTCCTCAAAACAGTACCACACTTTTGGCTTCTTAGTTATCTTTTCCCTTCCAAGCTAAGGCTCTTACTCATATGAAGCAGGCTCAACGAGTTCCTCACGGTCAACATTCTCCTCCAGTCTTTTTACAGGGATTTTCTAGCACATGTTATGGATTATTTTTTGGGGTTGTCAACTCCACCTCAATTGTATCACCACTGCTGCTATTTTCCTTTTCCACACCGTTCTGAATGTGCTTCAACATGATAGAGACATCAAACTTAACATCACAACTGATAATAAACTTACACGAACTAGGATCTGGAATCGTAATCTATAACCCTTAACTCCTCCGCATAACCAATGAAAACACACTTCTTTGATCTCGGACTCAACTTATTATCTTCGCATGAACATAAGCAAGGCAACTAAAATTTTTAAATGAGAATAATCAGTTATTGGACCACACCTCTTGTGGTGTTTTGTACTCTATAGTCATAGATGGTGATTGGTTGATAAGTTAACATGCCGTATGGACTGCCTCTGCCTAAAAGTCCTTTATCAAACTAGCATTACTCAGCATGTTGTGGGTCTTTTCTAAAAGTGTCATGTTCATGCACTCAGCAACTCCATTCTATTGCGGCATCTTCGAAGTGCTATAGTGACGAACAATTCTTTTATTCCTGCAAAAACTCAAAAACTCTGGTTAAGAGTTATCTCCACCATTATCAGTCTTCAAGCATTTGACCTTATTCCTAGTTTGTCTTTCACCCTTAGTATTCTAATATTTGAATGCGTTAAATACGCCTGCCTTCTTCTTTAATTTGTAACTCCACACCTTTGAGAAATCATTTGTGAAGGAAACAAAGTATAGAGTTCCACCTTTGAGGCAACCGACGTAGGGGACCATACATCTGAATGAACATACTCAAGAATACCTTTAGTATTATACTCCGATGTGCGAAACTGCACGCCACTACTTTCCATAAACATGGTGCTCACAGAAGTCCACCATGCACTTTTTTCACACCATTGATCGATTGACATTTGCTAAGTTCGAAAAAGCTCTCATTCATGCAGCCCAACTGCACATACCACAACTCAGTCAAGTTGGAATCACCAATATTAGATATAGAAACTGCTGCTCTGACAATATTCCCAACAAGTGCATATAAATTTGGTCCAATCTTTCTACCTTCCATAATAACAATCTTTCTACCTTCCATCATAACCTGGCACCCTTTAGAACTTTCATGATTGCACCTTCTCCAACAAATTTAAACCCGTTAGAGTCTAATGCACCTAAAGAGAAAATTCTTTTTCAGTTCTAAAACATGTCTCACATCAGTCAAGGTTCTCACAACTCCATAATACATATTGCTCTTAATTTCCCAACACCAACAGTCTTACAAGCCGCATCATTCCTCATAAGAACTGAGCCACCATCGAGTCTTTGTACCACTTGTGCGATTTGCTGATAATGAAACTTTCTTACTTAACACCAGACCTTTCTTGCTTTTCTCCATTGTTATTTTAAATTATGAAGAAGAAGCAGCAACTCAGTCAATGTTAGAAGAATTAAATGCTTTAAATTGAATGCATGCTTGAGATCTTATTCCTCTTCCAAAAGGAAACACGATAGTTGGATGTCGGTGGGTATAAAAATTCAAAACAAAAGCACAATGTAGTGTGAAATGATATAAAGGTCGCCTTGTGGCAAACGAACACAAGTAAAATTGTGGTACCAAGTTTGCTGAAACCTTTGCCCCAATAGCCCATATGACTACTATTCCAACACTTATTTCTGTAGCATTTATCTGACGACGGCCTCTCTATCAGCTAGATGTTAAAAATGCATCTCTGAATGGTGACTCTGATGAAGAAGTGTATAGGAAGTTACCTCCTAGAGTTGAGGTGTTTAGACTTCGATGAGCCTTATATGGACTCTAACAAGCACCATTGGTTTGAGAAATTTTACAATGCAGTTTGTATCTGCAGGACTTCAACAAAGTAATCACGATCTAGCAACGTTTGGGTTTGAAACTCCTAACGTGTGAGCTCTTCTGTTACTCCATGTGCATATCTTTGTGATGATATGCACATTATTCATAAGATTAAACAAAAACTCAATCAAATATTTGAAATGAAAGACTTGGGGTGCTTACACTATTTCCAGGATTTGAAATTGCTTATTCCTCTCGTGGCTATCTGCCATCTCAGCTTAGTATGCCTTTGAACTTGTTTCACAAGCTCAACAAACAGATGATACTAAGAGAGTTAATACCCCCAATGAATTTAATGCTAAACTTCGGGCTAGAGATGGTGAACATCTCCCTCCTCTAATATTTTATAGGCAACTAGTTGGGAAACTAATATATCACAATTTCACGCTTAGATATTGCTCATGCAGCGCATCTGGTTAGCCAATTTCTAAGTGCTCCTCGTATGTTCACCTCAATGTTGTCTTATGCATCATCCATTATGTCAAGGATACTCTTAAGCAGACTTTATTTTTCTCTTCTTCCTCATGACTCATATTTTGCAGGGATCCCAGTGATCGTGAATATACAATAGGATTCTGCATTTTTATGGGTGATTCTCTCTATCCTGGAAAAGCAAGAAACAAAAACGTATTGCCCAACCTACAACTAAAGCTTAATAAAGAGCCATGTCACAAACCACCAATATAGTTATCCGGCTTCATTGGTTGCTCACGAACATGGTTGTTACTATTGCTATTCCCACACTTCTATATTATAATAACAAGAGCACCATCTATATTTAAAAGAATCCAGATTTCTATAATTGCATAAAACATATCCAGATTGTCACTTTGTACACCAATAATACCTGGCAGGCACAATTTTTCTTCTTTCCCTCTGTATCCTCCTTTGCACAACTCACCGATTTCTTCACCAAAACTCATTCTGCACCTCAATTCTTCCCAGTTTATGTCCAAACTCTCCATAATACTCTTAAACCATCTCAAGTTTGAGGGGGAGCGTGAATGTATATTTACTTTCTATTCATGCTTGTACATATTAGGAAAGTAGATTATTCTCATGATTCTTGTCATGGTCTTACAGCTGTACACGGCCTTGTAAATCTAAAAATCTACTATTCTTGTTATGCAATGACATAAAGAGAAAGAGTACTTTTCATACACAGTTAATAGATTTCTTCATGGTTAAACTTTTTTTACCAAAGTTCTTGCAATTGCTCCCAAACTAACTGTGTCTATTGGAAATTATGCACATATAGTCAGTAATTATGGGCTTTATTAGCTGTAATGCCCATTTCCATAACAAAAAGTATCAAAACCCACATGGCTATCAAAAGAAGTTGCTAATTGTTCTATATGACCTGGGCATAATTTTCTATATGACTTGGGCATAATTCTAAGGGTTTATGTATCTGTGCCGTATTGTTATATGTTTGGCCATTGTAAGTTACACAATGATGGCATGGGGCTCTTAAAGATCAAAAACCTATTCAAAAGCATAATTACCTTATATTCAGCTTTGCTTTTAACCAGAGAAAAGGATCTTAAATTAAGTTTGCGATACATGAAAAATGGAACTCTTATCAAGTCCATTTACTAACTTTTATAAACTAATCTGCCATAGTTATGTTTTGATGTAATGAAATCATAAATTTACAGATCTTCTTAGTTATTTATTTCCTTGGAGGCTCAAATTTTTCTAAAATTTATGACGAGTTTCTTCGATCGTGCCCCATTTTTTCTTTTTAACATTTTTCTCAATTTGTCCCTTTTTAATATCTTCATTTTTTTCATATGAAATTCTCAAAATCTGAACTGAATAGGTTACTAACCAACATTTTAACCATCAATAGCAGCAGCTTCAGTGTAGAAAGCAAAGTAGAATCTATGGAAGCTCTCAGCATTTGACTTCAAACTTAAATAAACTAAAGTAGAAGCTACACAAAATATAACTTACCTATACATTGTCTAAGAACATACCTTTCCTTGCATTGATGAACAAACAGTTGATGCCAACTGAATGCCTGCTCCTAATCCCACAACATTGAAGAGAGTGGAGATGGCCTCTCCTTTGGCAAACAGGTCACTAAGATTGCCCTCTTTAGCAAATGAAGAATATATTGGCAACCTTGTAGCTCTTGCTGCAACAACCGCCATTCCCTGTAGGCTGGAAGATATCAGGAAGGTGTAACAACAAGTATGAGAATGGACCAAAAATTCTACAAAGGACTTCCAAGTTAAAGACCAACTGGAAAAACGAAAAAGCAAGCTGGTGCAGTTCCTCACTAGAGACCTTAGGCAATCAACGTTGAAGTTGCAAAGCTCAATAGATAACAAGAAAAATGTTAATCAACAATATAAAGTAGTCCCTGGACTGCAGAAAATATTGCGCCATCATCTTCCAACGAAATAATGGCCATCCCTAATTTGATTAGACAATCACTATGGGTGGCAAGGGTCAGGTCAGGTCTTGGTCAGGCCAGACCTAGACCTGGACCAGAAAAATATTATGGGACCCAAACCCCACATCACCGGACCCTGACCCGAACCCAAAAATATAATGTGAAACCCGGACCGGGAAAGGACCGGATAGGAACCAACCCAAAAATCAAAATATCCATATCTTTAAATATATTTTTCAAATTGGGACCCAAAAATATTATGTGGGACCCGGACCAGACCAGACTGATCGGACAAGGACACAGACCTGAATAGTGTTCGGGTCCAAGATTTGGACCCGGACCCAACCCGCCGGGCCCATTTTTTGAACCCATACCCAGATCCATGTCGGGTCTACCTATCGGGTCCTAGGTCGGGCCGGGACCACTGCCACCCCTGACAATGACAAAGCCATGAACTATGAGCATGACAGTGTCCAATAGACTATTGAATACTTCCCTGAATAATAAACCACGTGGAATTAGGTACCTTTGCAAAGTTGCCCAGGCCGGCCATTTCGAGAAAAAGTTGAGGGCATAATGGAGAAAGAACTTCCAAGCCAGTACCCAAATCATAGAGCACATCAGCTGCAATGCCACAACAATATTTACTAGAACACCATCTCCATCAGGTGGACCATTTTGCTGACACAACCAAAACATAAAACAGGGAACTACAAAAAGAAAGTGAAAATTTCATCTCAATCACATGAAATTTTTAAAATAACAATTTGGACTTAAATCATACCTAGTATCCGCCAAAGCTTTGGTTCCGAGTCCATTCTTGCACCCATATTGCTACATATGAGTTTCCCAACATGTTGCATTCCATCCTTGATGACCTACAAACATTTTGGTTAAGAAATAACAATCATGCAGAAGAAAAGAAGAAGCCGCAAGAAATAAATCACCATCATTTAAAAAGACAAAAAGGAAAGGAAAATTTCCAGAAAAGTTCTTTTTTATATTAGGAATTCAAAAATAGTCCCACATATTTCACATTTTACACTCACATAAAGTGTATTTTAATTGATCTTTTTTTCTATACATTGGAATAAGCTGAAATTTGGTAGGTCCATTTTTTTCACATTCATACACATAAAAAATAGTTTAAAAGAAAAAATAAAAAATAAAAAAAGACCAAAGTACCCCTATAGTAGTCGGGGGTGTTTTGGTGTTTTTAAGTATTTTAAATATTTTTTACAGGTGTGTGATAGTGAGGAGTATAGACATACCAAATTTGAGTTTAATCAGATTTATAACAAAAAAGATATAATTAAAATACACTATATGCTTTCAAAAGCGAATAGAAAACAGGAATTTTTCCGGTAAATTCCCACACCACCCCCCCCCCCCCCACACACAAAAAAAAAAGAGCTGCAAAAGAGGGAAACCCTATAAAACTATCAAAACAGAGAATCACATTTGCTCTTACCCAGCTTACAGCTGTTGCCTGTGCTGGGGTAGGCCGCAGGCCTGCAGCAAACAGCAATGACTGCATAACCGTAAGAATGCTAAGTAGCTTGAGATACAAACAACAAGAATGTACATCCATTCAATTATCACATTTTTAGTGATGATCAAATATCTGTTAAGGATGCATTTATAATGAAAAGCCAAGCAAATTAATTTAGAAAAAAGATATTAGTTCTATAAATTGAATAGAATTGATCCAAAGAGGGGCAAGATTCAAAATCTAATTTTTGAATACCTCCCCTTTTTTGATCAAGAATTTCTTTCATTGGAAGAAAATTGCATAAATTAAACATGGCCAGAACTCAGAAGCAACACACTATACACAACAAATGGAAAATGTCCATGATGTTTTGATTACGGACTTGCATACTATGAGAACATTTATCTTTGTTACAAGGTGGTCACAATTACATCCAGTTAATTGGATGGCTTGGGGTGTGTCAGAAGTTCAAGTAAAAAAAAATTTAACTTTTGAGTCTAATAAATGACACTCTTACAACCATCCGATTTGAAATTTGACACACAATAGTTATTGTAACCTCCTTGTACCAAAAGTAAATGGTCTCTTTGTATACTTTCCTTTGATTAATTTTCTTATGGGCTTGCGGTAGTATATATTATTACAGAAAATAAATGCTTAATTCAAACCTGTGTTGATAGCACTGAGAGTGCGGCACTGGAAACATGTTGCAAAGCCCTAAATTTAGTATATGTCAGGTACCCTTCATTTACACTGCAGATCCAATATTGAAAAGGAAACCAAAAGAATTTACTTTAGGTCCTTCATGCACACCATAATGACAACATAAAATGGATAATGAAACCTTTTTAGCTCCTAGCTCAGGCTTACAGTGACCAACAAAGTTAGACAATGGAAATCACCTATGGGGATATCCAGCAGGGAAAAATTTATTCAGGAAGGATTCCAATATATGGGTCCCAAATGGCCTTGAATCATTGACCTTCTTCACCTGTGGCCAAATTTTTCAAAAGTTCAAAATGACATGCATGATTCAACCAATAGAAAATACCAGGTTTCAAATTCAAGAATATGGAAATAAAACCAAAAGGCAATAAAAAATAACAAAAGGAAACAAACAGCTCAGGGAATGATTTCATTAATCCAAAGGTATAATTTCAGTAGTCTTTATCCCTTCTTGCATATTATATATCTGGCTCTAACCATGAGATATTCCAGGGAAAAATTCCATCACCCATCTAAATTGCTAACTGTTTTAGTGATCATCATCAATGTGAAGAATAACATTTCCATAACCACCTGAATATGAACATTTCATGTTTCCTCTCTCTAGTCCAAGGAAACCACGAAAAGGATTTCAAGGAACAGTGAAAACCATGAAAGATATGAGATGTCACCCTTCAAACAGGTAGCGGTTTGCAACTATAACTCTTTCATGGCAATAAAGCATGGCCACAAACATGCAACCCGCAGAATAAGTCTATGACCCTATAAGTATCCACTGTGTATTATCCAACTGTTTTGATGCATGTTTACTGCATGTACAACAACTCTGGCTTACTGAGGATAAGCAATGACCTTGAAGACTAGGTTGCATCAAGATAATGCACTTGCCAACCAAACTCGCAAGTATTTGTCCAACTTTACTTTGTGTTGGACAAATAACCAATACCCAAGCCCGTGATGGTCAACCTCTTCCATATCTAGATCTAACTTGAATCCCTTCTGTTAAAAAACCAATAAGCTTACACTTTCTCCCATATGAACGGGATGGCAGTGCAATCACTTCCCTACACATGAGCTATATAAATGCTGTCACTCATCAGCCACAAGCAGTAATCAAGTATTCAAAAAACGCAAACATCCAAGCCACAGAGCTGTATATGCCATTGGGAATGGCAAAGCAATTCCCAACAGAATATGCTTGTTGAGGAAATGAGAGTCAGCAGAAAATCAGTTTTCTTGCTACATTGCACTGGGCAGTGTTTAAAAACCCTCAACTGGGTATAAGGACAATGCAGGGCACAGTCCAAGCAGGCTTGGCAAGTCCCTGAGTCGGTCCTGCGAGTCAACCAGAGTCTAGAGAGAGAGAGAGAGAGAGAGAGAGAAATGGGTAAATTATGCAATATTCAGAAAAATAAAAAAAGAAAGGATGAAATTGTTACTTAAAAATTTAAAAATCTTTACATGTTCAAACATTTTTGAGGAAAGAAAATTCAAAAAAAATGAAATAAAAAGACTGCAAATCAAGTACCTGCTGCAAATAGATCCTCAAACAAAACAAAATGAAACTTTCAATGTATCTTTACAGTTGGACTTCAGATCTAATTGATCCAAAGTCTGCAAAGTCTTACACCAAAGTGAAATCCCAAATCCAAAATCTCCCACATCCTCTCTTTTTTGTTTTTTTCTTTTCTTTTATTCACAAAAGAAATTGAAACTTAATTTTCATTTTCCACCAAACAAATAGTCACTTAAACAGTGTTGGATTCACCAAGTTTCTGGCAATTCATGTGAAACTTGCCACTCAAGCAAATCTGACATAGAACCACCTGGGTCTTTGCAGTAACCCAGGTGGCTCAGGTCCAGAACCTTCCTCATAGGCAGTCGGGAGAATCTAGACCCGGCAAGGTGCCAAGTCCAAGTGACTAAATCAAGTCTGAGCTGGACTCAACGATTTTCCAAATACTGCCCTATTGATAATTGAACAGTTGCATTCACCGGAATTGCTTGATAAACAAATAAATGAGGAGGCTTTTTTTGTTTTTTTTTAGGGGGGAATGTTAATGAGTAGAAAGCATTTTAGCATTGCAGAATGTCATGGTTGGACGATTTGTTTAAGAAGAAATGTAAGGTTCATTTTAGAGAAATCTCACCATGGATAGTTCATTGTTTCAGGAACTCTAGATGCTTTGTTCTATTAAGCTTAACCTTAAACCAACTCAGTTCTCCTCATTGCCTATTCGACCATTGTGAGATATGTCTCATTCAAAAGATGCTTTTATAAGGTCCTATCACCAACCATGTTGCGAAAGCTAAACTATAAACCCCAAGATTTCTACGTCATCGAAAGATTACTCTTGTTGAATGCAAATTAGGACTTTGGATAATGAACTAAAAAGGGCCGTAACCCAGTGCTGGTCCCGCCTAAGCAGGGTCCCGGGAGGGGGGACATGGAAACAGTCCTAACCTTTAGCTTATGCACAAAGTGGCCGCTCTCAAGACTCGAACCCGCGCTGTTGCACTAGCTACCCGAGCCTTTTACCGTCACACTTAGGAGAATGAACTATAACATAATAATTCAGAAATTACCTTTTTTTCCTCATTTAAGTTAAAATTTTTGGCTTCAAAAGGGAAAAATTGTCAGTCTAGTTCAATCAAGAAAGAACTAAACCTGTATATATTGAATGCACAAACCATCTGACCTTTCACATTGATGTTGATCGGGACAATTATTTTAAGCCCGAATGGATGGAAGTGGCGGCTAGAAGTTCTATGAGGAACATAGGTCTGAGTTGGATTGCCTCTAGAGGGTGGAGATAAAGTTATTTGAGGCTCATGAAGAGATTTGGAAATGATAGGGTTCTTTTCATTGAAGGCAGAAGTATTGGACCAGATGTACGTCTACATAGTGCATCTAGAGACTCAAGATGAACGTCTGATAATAGGAATGCGATTGGAATCCTTTCCTAGAGCTTATTCTAATTCCAAAATCATCTTCACATGCCAAGATAGTATATGACTCAGACTTGTATTGAACTTTTGGATGACATGCATGATAGTTGCCATTTGGTTATGTTTTAGAAAACACAAGAATGGGTACATGAATTCTCGTTTTCTCTTCATCTGATGATTGACTTTGAAGACTGCTGATTCTTTACTGCTTTGCAGTTTGCATTACATTAACAAGCAAAGGGTGCCTAAGTGGAATTACCAACCTTTTTCTAATTGGTATATTGGAATTCAAACCCACAACCTGCAGTGAGAGACTTAACGAGGTGCAAAATCTGGCCGGTTCCGATTATTTGAATATTATTCTTTATGAACTCGACCATGTCTCTGACAGACTTGGTAGATCTCTGACAGACTTGGTAGAGTCTCTCAGACCTGATTCGGGCACAGGACCCTAGAAGTCCCGACCTAAGTTATTGTTTTCCAGCACTGGCAGACAGTGTTGCTAATGAATGGCAACACTCTTGTCTAATGCAAAATTTAGATTCTATAATTACATCTGACCAAATGCTTGCATATTTCTCATTCTAAAACAAAAATGCAGAACTCCCTCTCACTAGAAAAGCTTCATTCACTTTAATAACATGAATGGACATGCTGCAGTTTAAGTCTAAAATAGAGAGTCAAGAGTTGCATGTCTACAATCAATTAGGTCATTCTCTCTCTATCATATCTCCAGAAAACTTCCCCATAAACTAAAAAAATGAACTTACGCATATTGATTCCAAACATTTAATCTCAAGCTACACAATTTAGACCTTCTCTCAAACAATGGATTCATCTTTCTCTCGGTAAAAGCTTCCAACAAGTTTGCTCAAATAAGAAAACTGAATAAATGAAGAGTAATTCCCACTTGTACAGTCCAAATTTACATTGCCAAAAAGAATATTTTTGGGTTTTCGTCAACAAAAAAAAAACCATTTTTGGGTCTTTCTCTCTGTAAAACAATTTGCATTGTGCCCCAAGAAGAGTTACATGGCTAATCAACCAAAAGTTTGCTCTCTCTCTCGTATAACATTATTAAATCACAAACTGAGAAGACTTACAGAGAGATGGTCATCTCTATCAAACCGATACTGCTGTGCAATGGAATCCCATGTCTCAATCCAAAAATCATCTCTTTTCCTCTCCGCCTCCTTTTTCTGCGGCTTTATTTTTTCCTTGAAATGCACCAAAAAGGCGAGAAATAAGAGAAACAGTAGCACAAAAACTCGAAATTCTAACCAAAAATCAAAACCCAATTTCAAATTAAAGAAGAATCATAATATTTATAAATTAATGGATGAAATAGAAAGAGAAAATTCATATTTTTCTTACCAGTATTCCAATCCCCACCATCTCTGTTGCCCTCTCAATTGAAATAAGGAGCTCAAAGCTGCCTACATAGTCTATCCAAGCTGATAGAAGACCCAAGTTATATTGATAAATTCTAGGATGCCCATGGTCTTCATTTAATAAATTAGTCGAAAATGTTTATATGAGGTTGTCACCTTAGAATGTAGAATAAAAGTGCACCTCAAAAATCCTTTAAATCCTTTAAAGGAGGTTGTTTTGATGTTAGAAAAACATCTAATTGATCATTTCGGCAATCTAATTGATCTTCTCAATATTAAGATACATGAATATGAAAAAAAAAAAGATATTTTGAGTCTTAAAAATAGTACATCTTATATCACACTATCTGGATAGTCTATTTTCATGTACTTATATATTTGATTTATTTGAATCATTTTTTAGGTTTAAAAGTTTATAATTAAAAATAAAAATAGATTTTCGCACTATCCTAAATTTTTTTTGATACCAAAATTACATCTTATGACAAAGTTTAGAGGTGCACCTTAAATAGATTGTTTAAGGCTGCAACCTTATACAAACCACACCCGGGTATGGTTTGCATAAGGTTGCAACCTTAAACAATCCAATTAAGGTGCACCTTCAAATTTTATCATAACATATAATCTTAGTATAAAGTATTTTTAGGATTATCTAAAAATCTACTTTCATATCTAATTATAAAATTTTAAACTCCAAACATAGTTTAAAGCAAGTAGATCTATAATCATATGAAAATCTAAAAAATTAACGGTCTAAATAATATGTTGCAAGATGCACTATTTCTGAAACTCAAAATCTGTTTTTGTTCATACTAATACTCCTCGATGTTGAGATTATCAATTAGAAGATTTTCTATTAAAATAAATTTTTTCAATGGATTTTTTAGGTTCATCTTTAATTCTACATTTGAATGTTGCAACTTTATATAAACTTTTTCTTAGATAATATATTACAAGATGCACTATTTTTCATATTTATAATCTAGATGATAAATTGAAGTGTTTCTTAAGGTCAAAACTATAGTTTTCAAGGACCAACTGGTGTTCTGACTTGTCAGACCCTTACTAATCTAATGTAAAAACAAGGTTTGGTTGAAAATAAATTTAAACCAATGTTTAACAGGTTTTAGCAAGTCAGACTAGTCAGTTTTTACCGATTAGATCAGCTAAATGAAATTTGGCAAAAAAATTTAATATATTTTATATTTTTAAATTGCTATATCGAATTTTATTTTTATTTCTCTAAAATCCATTGTGGTTGGACCGGTCATCGGCAACAAGTCCCATCCTTATAACACTGGTCATAACAACTGGTGGGATTTTAAGATGCGTGTTACTTTTATATATAAAAATGATGCCTAATATAATTTTTTTCTTTTTATAAAATTAAGCACTTGTTGCCAAACTCTCATCGAAATGTCATTATAAAAGAATTTAATGTCCTATAGAGCCCCACTTCACCCTTCTTTAAATGATGTACTGGCTTGTGTCTGTAAGATCAATTCTAGAATAAGAACATTATATCTGTCTCGAAGTTAACTTGCCTTCTGAAAATTCGTGGTGAGATCAGACTTATAAACCCAATGCCATGCTAGAAATGATAGAAGCTAATGAAATTAGAATCAAATATAAAGATTTTAGCATAGTTATGCATCATATTTTCCCAACAATGGAAAGCCTCTTTAGACATTTTTTTGAGCAATTCAGGGGGGGAAGATAGGCCCCTACCCGTTTTTTCTGAATAGATTAGAGAGTTACATGTCTTTTACATTTTCAGAAACTTTTTATGCGTTTTGCTATTTTTGTTAATTAAACAATTAAAGAATTAAACAATAGAAAAGTACAAAATTATTTTATAGTTCCATGATTGATAAAACCCAGATCGGTGGGGTAGATTGTTCACCTATAGATCTATATCGTATGGGTAAATCAGTGATCTGAATCAAATCTAAATCAGTTCGAATTAGTGATGAAAAAAACATTAAAAATAAATAAAATAAAAAAGAATAATTTTGGGGTGCCAATTTAGTGGAGGCCTAAAAAGGATATTATGATAAGCTAAAAAATAAGGAGGAAAAGTATATAAAGGAGGGATTTAGGTGTGAACCAGCCCGGGACACCTTTCAGAAACGGGTTTGATCCCGACCAATTCAAATAGGATAAGAAATTATCGAGTTTTAAAACAAAGTTCAAAACGATATACTAGCAGTATTCAATTTAATATTTATGAGATTCACTTTAAATGGAAACAAAATATCTTTCTCTCTCTCTGTCATTATTCTCCTTTATCACAATCAAATCTATTATTCACAACCTTGTTCCTCTATTATTCAAAAACTTGCTAGCCAGGGCCAATTTCTATTTAAACTCTATATCATTAATTTATGGGAAAGTGTACAATAAGATCTTTTTATCTTTCAACAAGAAAATCATAATCAACCCTAGCCATAACATACGAAATATGGTGACTATGCCATTGAAGTCTAAAAATTTTCCCTTGAATTTTGTGAAGAAGATAACTTCTCTAACTGCCCAATTTCCCATTACAAAGGTAGGGGCAATAGTGACATTCTTATTCCAAAAAATTAATGGCCTTGTAGTTTGCAATCCCAATTTAAGGAAAAATACACCATAAGCCCTCTTATTTTTTAACAAGAAAATTAATTAACTCTAACCATCAAATGTGAAATCAGGTGATCAGGAAATTACCATTTGAAGTTCGAAATTTTTTCCAAATGACACATTTGTAAAGCCCAAATTTTCCATAAAACGTATAAAGATGATAGTGACTTTCTTATACCAAAAATCAATAGTCTCATATTGTACAATCCCTGCCATCTAAAGCATGATGCTTGATCGCTTTTTCTCTTGACGAATACAAGTCCAAGCATGATGATTGATCTCTCGTTCTCTTTGACGAATACAAGTCCTCCTAATCCACGCATCTCAAAATTTTGAATACCCATCCATGAAAATTGAATTCCACAAAAAGAGGACGCTACATTCACCTGTCTGATATGGGGGGGGGGAAGAACTTGAAAAATAAGGGGAAATTTATCTCTATATCTCATATCACCATAATTATCATCATCATTTTTCCAACTATTTGGAGCCAATTTTGGTCCATCATTTTACTAAATCAAGGGCCATACCATCAGTGAAGTCAGTGTCGATATATTTTCTTATTACTTCCAACTATGTTCTTTTGGGCTACCCGTTGTACTTTTTAAGCTTTTCACTTGAACTAACTCGCACATCATAACATGTACTATACTGGATCTACGTTGCACATGGCCAGTTTACCAAAATCTGATTTCTCTCATCTTATCTTTGTATCTCATATTATTATCTTAATTACTAAAAAGGAAAATTTTATATAAGGTCACAACCTTATACTACAGCAGTAAGGTACAGCTCAAATACCTAATAGAAAAAGAGTGTTCTGCAGTTGTAAAACTTTCCTATAGTTCATTTTTGTAATAAGTTATCTAGACTATCTATTTTCAAGATTTTGAAGTGTTTATAGATAAATCAACACCTTTCTATAATTTTAAAATTTTCCAATTAGGGTTGAGCATGAATTTCAAACCAACATAAAGTTCTTGACACTATACTATATCTTTTGGCAAAATTTAAAGGTGCGTCTCACTTGTATAGCACAACATATGCACCTTATACAAACCTCACCCTTACTAAAATTGACTTAATTTTAAATATCAAGCGCATATCCCCTATATGGTCCTATTCTATTTTCTTTCTATTTTGACTTCACTTCGGATGTTGAAAATCCAAAATCACAATGTTATCCTACGACTTCCGATTTCCAATGTCCAAAGTCCTAAGGTAATCTAATGTCCTAATGAGGTGACATTGTGACTTCCGATATTAGAAATCCAAAATCACGAGGTAACCTTGTGACTTCCAACATTGGAAATCTGTAGTCTTATGTGACATCATATATTCAATACCCGGAATTAGAGAAAAATGGAGACAAAAAAATCAAACTAGAAAAAGGATATGCGCGTAATATTGAAAAATTAAGGGTAATTTTCATAATTATATATTAATAAGGGATGCACAGGTAATTTTCTCAAAACTAAAACAAAGGACATATGTACATAAATATGATAAAAATAAACAAATAAAAAGCCATTGCCTCTCAAGTTCAAAGAAAAATAAGAGAAACCTTTTACTAATCCATACATGTTATAGTTAGTCTTTCTCGCCCTAAGCTTAGAGAGGCCACAATACCAATTCGACAAAATCCAGAATGATACAGAATTGGTTCTCTCTCTCTCTCTTTTTGTAGGTATGTTGTGCTAGTAGGTTTTCTAAATATTGAAGTACTTGAAATGTTTTTATCCCATAAAAAAGTACTCGAAATCTCTGTACTACAATTAAAATTAGGTCTTTTTTATGTGGCAGAGGATTATACTCCTCCATCTAAAAGACTGTTCGGTGGGAAAGGAGCTGGGTCGTGGTAGTAACACCCATGCACCCTAATCACCATATTGTAGTTTATATTCTCACTGATACCATTCTACTAACACTTTCAAAAAACTATTTCTAAACCATTTGAAAAAACAGGTAAGGGACAATCTTCCTATTGAATTTCCCAAAAAGAAAGATTGTATGACGGTGGGCTACTCGGATCTTAAATAGTTTGAGTCTGGCCACTAAATTTTGCATGTGAGAGCCTGAAATCTAGGCCTCATGTTTGGCCTGGGCTAGAGTTACGCCAAAGGCCACGACACTGCCCAGACCCATAAACAAGGACGGGCAACACCACGTTGCCCAAGAGTAGGCCAAGGCCCCTTTAGCATGGTCCAGGCCGAAACAGGACTTTAGTGCCAAAGTTGGATCGGGGTGCCGTCGACTCAGCCCATTGCCACTCTTATAAAAGGTACACATGGAAAACCCCACCATAACAAATTCCTCTAATGAAACACCGATAATGTTTCTCGCTTCATCTAACCCCCACTTGAGATATAAACACATTTGGGATGAAAAAACTTTGGTATTAAAGAACACGTTCGAGAGATGAACTCACAAATGCAACCAAGAAAAGGCGGTATGACCATGGAAGGAGAACAGTAAGGGGTCGTTTGGATACCTAGAAA